TGTGTGAGGTGCACATGCGTAAAATTGTTACTGTCCACCTGTGCTGGTCGAGGTGCAAATATGAATGTATGTAAGTATGCATTTGCATATTTATGTCTGTGTATGCAAACTGCACATGCTGTGTATTTGTGAGTGTGTCTACCGGTCTGTGTGTGCACAGTTATGTGTAGCTTTATACAGTCATGTGTGCATGTGCTCCAGTGTTAATCCTCCGGGCTTTGCACCCTGGGGTGTCAACAGAAAGGACGGCTGGGTGTGGGTTTCGTCCCTCATTGTCTGTCTCTGTGTGTCAGTTCACAGTGCTTGCTGTCCCAGGGGAAATCCGTCTTCATTTCTCATCTAGAGTCACAGAAATGTTGTGTAACCTTCAAATGCCCCTGGACAAGACAGACGAATAATAAGGCTCAGCAATGGCATCAGAAAAGTCTTGACTCCAGTGAGCTCTTGGCAGAAGATTTCACATTGTATTTACATCCTGGTTCCTAACATACAATGAGCAAATGGATAGTTGAATGACACCAATTTGTAATTTGTCTACATTAATTGCAAATGCAAAATAAAGTTATTCTGGCCCTGAGAAGTGTCATTAGACTGACTTAATTTCATGCTGCCCAGAGCTGCCTTCTTCAAGAAGGAACAAACATTTGATATATTTTGGGTGGAGCATCACCTGAAATTTTAGCAATTTTGGGTGGATCATTTCAGTTCTGTATCATTCAGGAAGCATGTTTGAGCAGACGTGATATTATAAAAGTATTTTTTAAGGTGGTTTAGTACCAAAAGGGCAACACACACACACACACACACACACACACACACACACACACACACACACAAAGAAGGACTCAGCTGTGCCAAAGCCCCCACAGGGTTGTTGTATTAACAAATGTCTCTCTAGTGAATCAGCAGGATAGAGGATAGAGACTTTCCTGTTGTGTAGCAGTGCCTCTTAGGCTGCTTCCCTGCTTTTTTTTATAATACAAAGGTGCTCTACAGCTGCTGATGTGCAGCAGCTGAGCTCACAGGTGATGTGAGATTTCAGGGTTCTGGTCTGTTCTGTGATCTAGGTGCTGTTCGAGGTGCTGAAATGACACTGGCAGGGCTGATTTCTTCTGTTGCTGTCCAAGGTGCTGATCCTCTGCTTATAGAGCACCATGGACTCCACGTCCTGCATGTCTGTGTCCTTCTAAATAGTGTCACACATTTAAATTAGCTTAGATTATGGAAAAGGTTACTTCAAAAATGAAAGGCTGGTTACATATTAGTTTAATTTCTTCTTAGCAATATATTACACAGTCCTGATCTCACACATTGCACAAACAGCACTGAACAACAATAAATCATTATACACCATCAAGAATAAGTGCCATGCAGCTATTTCAGGGTGATAAAGAGCAACAATACTTCTGGGGTTTTTTTACAGATTAAAAAGGGAAAAATTACAATTTCATGTGCCCTACTGCCCCCACCTCCTGTTCAAACAGTACAGTTCATGTGAAGATGGCAAGAAATATTTTTACTTAAGTAAAATATATAATAAAATGCAACAGAGAAACACATGTTGCTCCTTTATTTATCAAAGTACAGTATATATTTCTGTTTAAGTTAACAGAAAATGTTTGTGATGTTTGCTCTCATAACACAAATAAGTGTCAGAAGCACTTTTTGTTGCTCTCTTAATTCTAAGGCAATGTTTCTTCATCCATCAATAAATATTCATCAGAGAGTAAAATTAGAAGCATGCTCTTTGTGAGCATGTGGGTGTCTGTGTGTGCAGTATTCTACTTCAAGACCCATTTGGGTGTATGAAAGGACCCTACATGTGAGTGTGTTCAGAAGGCTCCCTTTGGAATGAATTATTTAGAGGAGAGTCTCTTCTACTTATCCACGGTTGACTGGCCGCAGGCACGTACCGTTCTGCTCCCGACGTCACAAGAGACTACCCTAATTCACCATCCACCCTTCTGCAGTATGCCCCCATCTCACCCTCAAATCCCACTCATTTCCCAGCATGCTCTGGTGGTCCACTGCAGATGTCCTCTCACCGTAGCCATGCTTCTTGATAGAGTGAGTCCCCAAACTACAGTAGAAAGACTGAGAGGGAAAGACAGAAAGAGACAGTGAAAGCGGAAGGACGAGTATGAAGAGAGGGGCAAGAATGAGCTATTTTATTTTATACACAATGTGTTTTTAAAATTGCAAAAAAAGACAAAGCATGGAACAGAATTTTTTTTCAAAATTTTTGACCACAAAAACCAACCACAAAGCCTGAAATGAGATTCTGCAGACACACATGCAATCATCCTGGATTCTTGCTATCCAGGAGCTGGATACTAACAGTCAGCAACAACAGTGAAGAATCATGTAAAATATTCATCTGTGTGGCTGGCTTAATAATGTATTATCCCTCAATTTAGCACCCAGAGCTTTGCTGTGCTCTGCTTTGTACCACTGCCACCAAGTACTTGAAGTTCAATCATTTAAGAAACATCCTCAGCTTTAGAATATCAAACTTACACCATTACAAATTCAGATTAAAGTGGCTGCAGCCTTCTGGAAGCAGCCACTTTGTGTGTCTTTCTCAAAATGTTGCATAAATGGCAGTGAAATACCTCAAAGACAAATGTTTTTGTTTAAGAGGACTGTGAGCTTTACCATATATTGAGATTTTTAAAGAATGCTGTGTTGAAAAAATAACAACATTGTCAGGCTTGTTTACTATTTCATTCCCGGTTTAAAGTTTGAAGGGCAACTCAGCAAGCTTGGGAGCGAGAGGGTGGGGGTTAGGAAAATTGCACGCATCACAAAAATACTGTCCAAATATAGCTGGAGAAGCAGGCTCTCTGGCTGATCTCTTCATTCTGTGGCAGCCAGGCAAAGATGTGACCCTGACAGGCAGCAGACTGAGACTGATGGGATACTATGTGTGGCTGTTGTACGGCGGCTGTTGCTGCATCACCATATTTATAAGTAGGCTCCATCCATCCAACCCATAATCCTCATGTAGCGAGATCCCAGTGCACATATGGACTCCCATATACATGCACACATGCTGACACCATCTCTTTCTCTCTCACTCTCACTTCCTCAGGTGACATACGTAATTTTCCTCTTCCCCTCTTGAACACACACACACAGAAACGTGTACACGCTCATTCAGTACTCGCAAGTAAGGATTAAATGTGAGTGGTAGTTGGGAGCCACAGGGTGCGCCAATTCAAAACCAGAGTCAGACTCCACTGTGACTGGAGGCGGAAAGGGATGTGCTTTCACTACCCTGAACTTTCTGTGTGTGTGTGTGTGTGTGTGTGTGTGTGTGTGTGTGTTTCAGTGCTGACATGCACATTCAGACTCACCCGTGACCTTTGATAGAGGGAGGGAAACAGGGATAAGTCAGAAAAAGAGGGGAGCTTCAAAGAAAAATGCTTTGCTCTGCTCTTGCATGGGGTTTTTGATTCATCCAACACGCATCAATATGTGTGACCGTGTGTCCTAACTGTTTCCTCAAGAAGCCCATCACACTATGTGAACACTATCCTGAAGTGATCCTTAAGCTGCTGGACTGATTATAAAAATGTGTTTCATAAATATGTTCTCTAATATATATAAAAAAAGTTATTGAGCATCTCACAATAGGTGGCTGGGGGGGGTAGTCATGCCTTTATTTGATAGGTGACAGTGATGACAGGAAATGAGGTGAGAGAGAGCTGGGCAACTACAAGCAAAAAATGTGTCTAACTAATTTATTTGTCAATTTTCCAAAAAGTGCCTCACAATTAAGAGAGATAAAAGCAAACGACCAGTAAAGTAACACAGTAATGATACAAAAATAATATGTATATAATAAATGTAATAATCAGTAAATTCAATTAAAAAGAGTAGAACCTGTTACCTTTACTTGAGGGTGATGTACGTTTGCTCTATGTCTGAAATAAATTGATAAAGACCGTTCACATTGGCCTGGAAAGTATTTATGTATGACACATGGACTCTAACTCACAGTTCGTCTTCATTTCTTTGCAGTCTCCAGTCTTGGGCACTTGGGAGTTTTATAGGCTGACTCATATTAGGACCCAAACAAACTGAGCCAACACTTCTGGTAGTTCCTCCCCAGTCACCTCACCCCTTTCTGTCATCACTCCTCCCTCCCTGTGTTCATCTCTCCCATCCCCCAGTTATGTGCCCTCCTCAGTGGGCAGTCATTGACCAGTGGCTACAGACTAATTGAGTTACACGTAACACAAAACTGTGACCACCTGCCTGCTACAAGTGCAGTCTTGTAATTGTGAGACCCAGCCGCAGAAGGTGAAATGTCTCGCTCAAAGATGTGTGTATTGTATTGTTTTGTGTGTGAGTGACTGAGCAATATTCGTTCAGTTTCTCACACACATTTTCTCAGAGGAGTCTCTTGCTGGTGCCGCTGTTAATGAAACCTTCACTTCATAACTCACAGGCCTTTCACAGAGATTTTCAAACAATCATCAAGGCTGTTATATAATTTTTTTTAAAAAACAGACACCAGAATCATCCATCTGTCACTGACAGATCTCTGGGTCTAACACTAACACTTACAGAAGTGAAAGAAGTCCACAGTAGAAGTCTTTCCAGCTACGCAAAATTATGCTTTTTGATTAAGATTTGCATTTAATCCTATAGAAGCTCAAGAACAATGGCTAAAAAAACGGTCAGAGTGAAGTAAAATTTCTTAGAAAAACATTGGCTGGTAATATTGTCTCAATAGTTATTCATTTGACCAGAACTGCTTGTTACTAAACAACAGGAAACGCAAATTTACAGTACAACTGCTATTCTATTGTGTACTGAACAGACAGCTCATGTAAAACCTTAATTGTTGCAACATTTTTGATTTATTATTGTCATGGCACAATGGCTTAGCAGTTACTGAAATGTTAAAAATAAAACAATTATCTATAGCAGGAAACTGGAGCATCAGAGGAAACCTCTCACAGATACAGGGATAAGTGACACTCCACACAGAGTTTGAGCCCAGGAACATCTTTATTGTTACAAATGACTTGAGACCGTTTTGGCCTTTTTAAGACTTTTTTTTACAAGTTGAATCTACATAGTGCAATTCAAAGTTTTTCTATGCAATGTAAGTTCTATGCAGTGGAGTTGTGAATTCATGTGCGATGCATAATTATAGTTAGTGTGACCACATGTGGAAAGCACATCATGTGTGTGCAGCCATAGCCTGCACTCATTCTAAGAAGCCATGCGTAACTCATTGTATTTTACAAACATATGTACAGGGAAACACAGAAGATTGACAAAAGAAAAAAAAATCATCCTGAAGAAAAAGTGGCAGCCATCAAATAATTTTGACATCACAACATCAGACGTCATCACAAACTTTAAGTATTTGTCTTTCACCAGAAATTATAGATGGACAAGTGTATTGTATTTATTGCACTGGCTTACAATGAATACACCCCTGGAGTGCTACTGCAAAATGATTTGATTTGATTTGTATCTTAAAAGGTTCTTCCATAGTAATTATAATAAGAATTACTTAAATTATTACCTGACTTTGTTAAACATTGTATAAGACTGTACAGTAACACTGATTGAGAAGACATTTTCAGTAAAATAGACAGTTTGAAAATGCAGAAAAGAATAGACACAATTGGAGACAAGACAATCTTGAAGAGATAAGCTGTAGGCAGTGGCAGGTCAACACAAGGGACAAGACAGGAAAGGAAAGGAGAGCAGATGTGATAATCACGTCAGAAAATACACAGCGATGGGGAGGAGGAGACTGGATAACAGCACTGCGTGCACATTGACACTGCGAGGTAAGGGAGAAATGGGGAAATGAGGGTAAGTCACGTGAAGAAACAGACGACTGAGGGCTAAAAGTGATGGCTGATGTTGGAGTCCCAGAGAAGAACATGAGACAGATAGAGGAGAAACAAAAAGCCAGAAAGGGAGAAAGACGACATCCCGGTTTTTGATGTGAAAGAGCTGCAGGAAGGATAATTCCCAAAGAAATTCAAGTGGGATCCAGAGGCAGACAGAAGTAGACAAAAAGATAGAGAAAGAGACGGGACAAAGACAAGCGTCTCATTTTAAGAAGCTGATGAGTGGCTGGAGGAACAGTCCCACTGTTCCCAGCACACACACTGTCACAAAAACCCACAGGAAGATCCTGTCGATGACCATGGCGACGTACTTCCAGTCATCCTCCACCTGAGGAAAAGAATAGAATTTAGTTGCGTGTATAAGTAGAAAAATTAGAAATATCTATGGTACACAAATTCATATTTCAGCGCACCAGGCTCTCTCTCCTCTCTAAAATACTCCCAGCGACCTTTGCTTAATGGTAATTGTGAAATTTCCAACAGCGGCACAAACTTTCACTTTCACTCGACATCATTGTGTCAACACAAGAGCTCTGTGGCTGCAAGGGGTGTGTGTGTGTGTGTTTGTGTGTTTATGCTTATTAGTTTGTGTATTTCTGTCTAGGAGAGGCAGAGCGAATCACCATGCATCTGGCTATTGTTGGAGTAGTTTGTACTGTATGTGTGCATATAGTATGAGTATTCAGTCAGGTGCAGACAATAGGATCATGGCTGCACTGACCGAAATACCATTGCCTATAGAGGAGGCAGTTCAGGGGGCTGTTCTGCATGCCTCAAAGACAGATTCCAGATTTGCTAAGAAAAGATGGAGCTGAAGCAATAAACGTATCAGGGCCATCCAGAGTGTGCAGGAGGCGTACACAAAGCCCTCCATCTGCAACAAACAAGCAGCTTTACACTCCCTATATAGCTCCGTGAAAATGGTTTTTACACCATTTGCTAAGCTAGGTAAATATACACACTGCAGATATAACACACACACACACACAAACAGTTCACACCTTCCTTTTGTTTTGTTCTGTTTGCATTATCTTTAAGATAAGAAACATTATGGAATTTGGCTTTGACACAAAATGTCATGTTTAAATGTTATTATTCTCACAAATGAAAAGGATGTGAATAACCCTACATTTCCAGGAAGAGTAATGCGGTTTTCAGTGAACTTTGTTCTACGAACAAGTAATAAAATCTTCCAACAGTGCTGAGTGAACATGCAAACAATGCCACCTGGTACAAGGCAAAGCAATTTTCTACACATACTGGCAATTTTCAGTGATTATATAAAAAAATATTTTGGTTTAAAGCAAGAGTAATTCTCTTGTTTCATTATGCAGACTTCAATGGGAGGAAGAAGGGGCCTCAACTTACTGCACACTTGGGGATTTGACAAGTGTGAAACTAAGTCATGGGTTTACAGGGTAATTAGACCCTCTGCTTCGAGATACCAAAACTCACGGGAGAAAACAAATGTAAATGCTCCGTACTTGTATAGCGCCTTTCTAGTCTTTTCAACCACTCAAAGCGCTTTTACACTACATCCACACACTGAGCGTGAGTGCTCAAAAAGAAACTAACATTCATACACTGGCGAAGGACACTTCGACATGCAGCCTGGGGTAGCCGGGATTGAACCGCCAACCTTTCGATTAACAGTCAACCCGCTCTTCCTCCGGAACCACAGCCACCTGCTAAACACTATCCACTTCCACACACTGCCAAGTGCAAACATACACAAAAGCTTTCCCATCTTTATTGCAAATGGCAAAACAGTAGGGGAACTGCAACTAACTATTATTTCCATTACTGATTAATCTGCTAATTGTTGTCGCGATTAATTGTTGGTGCTATGAAATGTCAGAAAGTAGCAAAAAAAATTCTGTTTTTCCATAAGACCAAGATGAGGTCCTCAAATTGCTGTTTTTGCGGGCGGGTTCTTTGGAAAAACAGTCCGAGTCAAAATATTTACTATCACATATGACAATAACAATCTGTACATATTTACAATTAAGGTGACAACAAGAAGAATGTTGTGGCATTTTTGCTTGAAAAGAATTGAGTGATTGATTGATTGATTGATTGATTGATTGATTGATCATCAATATAACTGCAGATAAATTTTCTGTCAACTGACTAATCAAGGAATCGTTTCAGCTTTACAACACAGACAACTCAAGTTTGATTTTGTACCTCTTTGGCTTTGTTGCGTGTCCTCATGTTCTCTGCGATGTACTTCACACTCTCTATGGCCTGCTTGATCTCTGGCGACACCACGGAGAAGGCAACAACAGCACTGACCGGTGAAGGGGCATTCAGGGACCTTTGCAGCTTTGGCAGCTCTGACTCCTGGGGGCCCTGAGCCTGGGGAGCTTGGGGAGGGGGGGGTGGCGCCATTGGAGGAGGGACAGGAGTCGGTACCTCCTTGCCTCTGTAGGGGCACCTCCTGTTTATATCCCGGTTCATGTCACCAAACTCCACACAGTTCATGGAGCCGCCAGCTGAGGTGGCCCCGCCTCCTCCTGCACCACTATCCATCGCTACACCCCCAGTTATACCCCCAACACTTACACTTCCTGAGCCACTTCCTCCTCCTATGCTGTTTTTTCTATTCTTGTTTCCTCCACCGCTTCCTCCTCCTCCTGTCCCCCCTGTAATACTGGCAGGGGAGGAGCAGCCCTGGTCGATCGGCCGCCTCATCAACATCACCCTGGGCAGCAACCCGAGGAACACGGACCTTACCCACTCCGGCATAGTGTGAGTCATCGGGGTGCGGTAGTGGACATTCAGCACGAAGACAGTGATGACGATGCTGAGCGTGACAAAAATCATGGTGAAGAGGAGGTACTCGCCGATCAGTGGGATGACGAGTGACGTGGAAGGAATGGTCTCAGTGATCACCAGCAGGAACACAGTGAGGGAGAGGAGCACAGAGATACACAAGGTGACCTTCTCGCCGCAGTCCGATGGGAGGTAGAAGACCAGCACTGTGAGGAAGGAGATGAGGAGGCAGGGGATGATGAGGTTGATGGTGTAGAAGAGAGGCAGGCGGCGGATGTAGAAGGAGTAGGTGATGTCTGGGTAGATCTCCTCGCAGCAGTTGTATTTGATGTCATGCTTGTATCCTGGTGCATCGATGATCTCCCACTCTCCACTCTCCCAGAAGTCTTTCAGGTTCACCTGATGAAACATTTTAATCAATTGTTCAAATGTTCAAAAGTCTCCACTGGTAAATTGTGACCTCACTGAATGTTTTAATTGGATTTAATAGAAGTTACTGCCTTTTTGTCTGAATAGAGGATATGAGCACATGAAAATGTACTTTAGGCTCAGTACCAAAATGTTCCTTCTAATATGAACAACTGCTACACAAACACAATCTCTCCCCTGTGACCCACAGACTCCCTCTGACCTTTGAGCCAATCAGCACCAGGTCGATCTTTGCCTTGTCGTAGGTCCAGGAGCCAAACTTCATGGAGCAGTTCTGGTAGTCAAAGGGGAAGTAGGTGATGTCCATAGGACAGGAGGATTTGAAAATGGCTGGAGGAACCCAGGTGATGGTGCCATCATACTTCAGCAGAGCCTTGGTCTTGTCCTCCACAAGAAAGTCACCTACAGCGCTGTGAGAGAGCACATTCACAGAGATGTAAATGTAATTTCACTTAAAGGCCATTACAACATTTGAATCAAAAGGTCAGGAGATGGAGAGCATAAATAAATAACATAAGCATATAGCAGCTTAAAGGCTAACCCATTCAGACAAACAAAAACCACATCATGCTACTGTTTCTAAATGACATAATAAAGCCATCTGATGAGTATAGCATAAATTATCTTTTGGAAATATGCAAGCTTACACTATAACAGATCGGTCACACATTGTCTAGCTTTTCACAGACAATGGAACTAAATGATTACTGAAGAAAGCTTGAAAATAGTCATGTCTCTTAGCACATAATGCAAGCTGAACATGGAGCTTTGTTCACTTAAACTTACTTGTTGTACAAAACAATGTCTGGCCTCCAAATTTTATTGGATGGAACTCGTATGAATTCAATCCCATCATACTCAACAGGGGCCCATTTCAGTTTGTAGTCGTTCCAGACCTAAAAGACAGACAAGACTGAGTACAATTCACCGAGTACATATAATCACTAATTACATCACATACAGGATAAATGTCACTCACATGCCTCAGCCACAGATTGGTTTCCATAATCTGATTGACCTCATCCTGTGAGAATGAAAATCAAGGATGATGAATCAAGGAGCCTTATGTTTTTATAAAACATATGTTTTTTTTGTTTAAAGACAATTGGTTCACTATCAACTCTTACCACTTTGACCAGTTGAGATATGGAGACCTCAAACTCCACTGTGACTGGATCAGATACATTCTCCACTGGTCGGATGAACTGGTTGTACCTCCTGAACAACCTCCGAAATAATCTGTCCTCCCCCTTAGATGAATAACAGCCTAATGAAACAAAGAAGAAGAAATGGAAGAAGAGTTCGGTGTTATTGCAAACATTCCTACACACTTCCATCTTTAGCCACTGTGCCTTATATAATGCAGAATAATCCATACACTTCACAGTTAAATTATTCATAATCTAAACAGTAATAAATAACCTTGTGTGCCATTCTAAATGTCCTGTCAACATTTTTGAAGATCAACAGGGACGTTGCTCTCTGGACCGCAGCAGATTTTTTATTTAATTGCCATACCATGGTTAGACACTGTGAAAAACTGGAAGCAAGGATGACGCTGCCAAACGGATTTTTATTTATTCAGAGCTCCTAATGCCTCTGTATAGCGACCCCAAACCAGGCTTTAGATTTATGTTTTTCTGTTTGTCTGTGGTTCTCAGTAAGAGCTGTAAGTTGGGAGTTCATTTTATATTTACTGTGTTACAAAGTAGGCGTGTCATCAAGCCCTTTAAGACAAAAAGCGCAAGTAAATTTGACTTAGCTTCATTATGACTGAAAGGTCAGCTGCTAAAAATTTTGTGACATTTGTGTCTGCTAAAGAAAATCTTCCAAAGATACGGAGATGCTTGTTACGTTTGTTGATTGGGTATCATTGTTAAAATCACAGTCACACTGAATCTACAAGGGTCAATGTATTTGTTTTATTATTTATAGGCCTGGGTAGCAATAGGGGTCATTTATGGCCTGCTTCACATAAGCTAGGACGATCACGGTTGTTGCATTGGTGTAAGGAACCTGGTGTATACAGTGTTGTGTGTTTCTGTATTATATTGTATGTCTATGTCACATTCTCATTTGGGACAAATAATAAACTGATTGATTGATTGATTGGTTGGTTGTCTACAGAACAGCTTCAAGAAATTGTTACTCTTCTCACTTACAGATAAGCGACACAATCAATGTCTTTTTTAAAGGATTGGTTCACCAAAATCACAAAAAGCATATTTTCCCATTCACCCCTAGAAGTATTTATCCGTGCAGATATTTTTTTTTTTTCCTGAAAGTTAGAGACATTTGCTTCTGAGACTTCTTCCACCTCTGTGACACAATGATGATGAACAGAATTTGTTCGTGGTGGTGTGTTTACTTTGATCACCACAAACGAAATCCCATTGTACTCGAGATGTGGCAGCAGATATCCTGGGCAAATAAAGCCTAACCTACGGCATCTGCGTGCCTAGATTCCACTAGGGGTAAGTGGCAAAATGGAAAACATGTTTTAGTTTGACTTAGGTGAACTGTATAATCAATATCACTTTGCTCTGGATGGAGTGAAAGTTGTGAAAGATCGAAGTGTGTTTCGAGAGGAATTTCAGCTGTTTGTTTACAGAGGGAAGGAAAGCCTGCAAGCTTATAGGAAAATTCCACATAAAAGACGCTTTAAGCAAAACAGAATGGTGTGTCGTTGGCCAAAGGGTGTCTGTATAAGTGTGTGCAGACTTTGTAAGGCTGGACGTATTGTGGAAAACTGCCACCAGTAACACTGGTGCCTGGTATGGCACATATGCCCACGCCTGTCCATGCAGAAAATGCTGCCTCACTTGGGACAGCACACACTCACACCACCAGTACAACCTCAGAAACACTGTGCCAGTGGCTTCAAAGAGCTCCAAATCCTGTTTGTACATAAACATAGAATAATATGGAATAATGTCTCTTTAATATTCTCTGTATGTTCATCTCATCTTTCCTTTGTCATGTTGCTCTTTCTTTGTTTTTAATTTCACGAACGGCCTGCTTTCCCTGTTACCTTTTTCCTCTGGGTAACCAATCACATGACACCATTTGAAGTCATTCTCACTGTATGTCCTTGGATTCTGAACTGATGGATTATTTTTGTTCAGGCACAATCACTGTAGCAAGACAAACAAAAAAAAAAGTGAAAAAAAAACCTCTCCCATCACAGCTTTCAATACAAGAAGTGACGCACACATTATTCAGCACATTCCCAAACCTGCACTTCAAACTTGCACTTACCGAAGTGCGTGAACCACTTTAGAGATGGACGAGAATGTGCTTCACCAAAAGGGCAAATGGGGCACAACCCATATACACACAAATAGCCACATTCACTGAAAAGGTTTCCTTGACAACAACTAAATAAAACATGGTTCTTTAATGGGACACGTTCTTTCTGTGCAAGCAAATCAACTCTCTACAAACCAGCAGCATGTAAAATTGATTCACAACCTTTAAATCGACACAATTTGTCAATTTACTTGTCATCCCCTTCAAAGATATTGTATCTTAATGCCCTGTGTTAATACTGACCCTCATACCTTTGAGGAACAACAACTAAAATACTGTGTAGGTAATGTATGTACTTGTTACATAGATTTGTACACACAAATTTGCCTTACAGAGTGTTTTCATAGAAAAAAAGCTGGCTTTTTTTAAGCATAAACTTGTAAAAAAAAAAGAAGAAAAAAAGATAAATATAATAGAAAAAATATGATAGAAATATAAACTGCAATGATTTATTGCAGAATACTAAACTAGTTGACCTAACCTAGCATGACTAGAGTGTAAGATCAGTCAATTAGGTGGATGTTGCTTTTTGGGGGGAACTTGAAAAATAAGAGACCAGATACCAGCAGCAGAATTAACCTTAGTGAATGTTTTTTTTGTCAGCGTGATCTCCTCCCTTACCCAAGGGTGTTAACTTCATTCTGATTTCTGATATGTACACTTCTTTAGTAGTAATATACATGTCATCCACTGCCATAAGACACTACACCCAACACATTCACAACATATTTTTTTCGAACCTATATGCTGAAACAAATATTTCATATTCACTGCCTATACTGTAAAGTCATAAAGTGTGTGTCCATTTATTGCCATTGGGAGTACACATAAATGAATATCATGCAGACGTCTCAGATTACAGTCTGCCTGGTTTCTCCATGTGGGAGACTTGTTCATTTGTTCATGTTCACAAAATCAGATTTGTCAGGGCTAGGGAAATAATAAAATAGTTGAATGTATTACTTGTTTATTTTAGGGGCTACCTGAATCTGAAGCGTGTCAAGAGACGTGTCTTAGACTCTAACAATGATAATTCAGAAACACAGAGAACACACTTCCTAAGCTTTAAAAACTTTACAGGTATATAATCACAAAATCTGATGCACATACAAGAATGACAAAACACAAACAAGACTCCTGACAAAATTTAGTCCCATATAAAGGTCAAAATTCATGGCTTGAATTTATGGTCAGGTTGAAGTCTTACTAAAATTCAAGTTCAGATAGAGCACATACAGCCGGGTGCAGACCAGTGGGGGCATAAGCTTTTCAATTCCACTGAGGAAAATAAAAAATCAGGTCGCCCAGCTTTTTCCCCTTCATGTTTATTCCGCCGAACATTTCCCGCTGCTTTTATTTAACTTTAGTCATGTTGTTAGTCTCATTTGAACAGGCAGAATTATCCTAACAAGTTAACTAACTAAAAATAAATAAAAACCTGTCGGATCTACATCCAGTACTCTATGGGTAAAAAGCTGCTTTATATTATAGTGGGTTTAAAACTCTTAAGAAGTTTTTTGAGGTCACTGGCAGAGGCGAGTTGAGTCTTAAAGCTTAATGAAAAGGCCTCTCTCCTGAGACGCTTGTTTAATTTCAGCTTTTGGTACCTGCCTTGAAAACTGCCCACTGCTCCCTGATTTGCTGCACTCCCAGAACCTCTAATTGGGTGAGGGAAACCAGGGCAATTATAATCAGTCAATTAATTGAACCTTTTGTTCACTGTGACAAAAAAATTAAGCTATTTTTTTTCTCTTTTGTACAGTCATTTGCCTGATTCCCCACTGCCACTGGAACTGAAGATCTTAAGTAGTCTAATTTTAAGGAAGTTAATTATAACCTTTGCCCTTTCACCTCAGTTGATACACACCACTCCCTTGTGCTGAACACAGGGATTTAATTTGTATGGCACAGAGAGCAATCATGAGTTTGTGCATGAAAGTAACAGGCAACGAGTGATAAAACTTTATAGCAAGGCTAACAAGTCAAGCAAAATTGCATTTTCATACAAGACAGCCATGCTAGCAGCTCTGTGAGGCTCTATAAGACCCAGCGGTGCTTGTGAACTAAACGCTAAATAGGAATGCAAACATGCCTCAATGACATTGCTAACATGCTTGAAATTTAGCAGGTTAATCATGTTCACCATCTTAGTTTTGTGGGTTAGCATGCTAACATTTGCTAAGTGGCACTAAGCAGTTGAGGCTAATAGGAATGTAATTTGTTTTGCATTCATGAACCAAAGTATTGGACAAGTGAACATTTGGATCTGATGATGGTGCAATTCATCTCAAGGTTTAGATGAATGTTTGCATCAAATGACATGACAAAACATACAAATGTTGGGGAGACATCTCGCTCCAAACCACGAAATCTCATGGTGGGGCTATAGAGAAAAAGTCATTAGGATACATCATCGGGGGACCATGAATGTCTGTACAAAGTTCCACATCAATCGATCTTGCAAGTGTATTTCAGTCTGGCCAAGTGGTGAACCGACCAACCCTGAAATCCTGAGAGCTGCTAGCGTGGCTAAAAATGTACCATTAGGATTGTCAAAAATTGCTCCGGAAGTCATTACCAACCAAATGTGTCGTGTCTTGTATCACTTCACTTGTCTCAAGCTGTCTCAAGTTAGAAGAAAGTTATTAATCACTGTAGATAGAACTGTCTATGCCTTTGATGATGAAAATCACATGAAATCAGCTTGACAGTAATGTTTCACTTAACCAGACATGTGCTCTTTCCTTCCCCTGTCTTTGTAACAAAGTGATGAGGCTTTCTTCTGACGGAGATGAAGCCAAGTCAAGCAGTCATGCATTTCACCCTTAAATAGCCACATTGATTTAGAATTAGCAAGCCAAACAGTGAGTCTGTCTCCATCTCTCGTGGCTACCGGAGCCTAAAGCCAGCAGATAGACCCCGTGGCCTGTGGGAAGCTCTTTGATCAGGCATGTGCTT